CGTTGTGATCGCCTCGCGGCGTCGTGTTCACTCTCGGGTGACCCTCGAGGGAAAAGCGGAGTGGCGCGGGAACGTTCAGCAACATGTTCAGCAGGGTCAGGTCGGCCGTGGCCAGTTTGGTGGGCGGCTTTATGCCTGGCTCAGCCAGCAGTGGAGAGCGAGCGACTGGCGTGGATTTGCCGCTGAAGTTCCCGTACGTGAGGCCGGAGTTTCTGGGACTGTCACTGGACGAGGTGGAGTGCTCGGCTGATCATGTGGCGCGTCCCATCCTAATCCTCAAAGAGACGAAGAGGTTACCATGGGCAACTGGCTACGCAGAGTAAGTCTACACTGAGCAGCTCCAATGAGTCTTCATTAACCTCCATTATGCCTGATCAGTGTTTAGTTTCTGCAGAAGTTGTGGATGCAGAGGCTCTATCTGTTGCAACACATGTGAGTTTCATATGTGCAATGGGATCACATGAGGAAGATGCTGAGGTGCTGATCCACCAGCATCAGAGGTGGAGCAGTTATATGGCACATGTACTTTCTTTGTTTGTTTGTTGACCTGGTGTACTTAGAACACTTGTTGTCTTGTCTGTCATTTTAGTATTACACTGTGTATATGTTACCCAAAAGGCCAGGCATGGTGAATCAGTATTGATCTTTTTTTAAACTATAACCTTCCTTTAATGTCTTGGGTTTACTCAAGTCCCACCCAAACTTCCTGATCGGAAATCCATGCCGCAAATGGTTTAAATTGCAACCCTCAAACCATTTAATGGACACTTAAGGCTTTCCTGAAGGCGTTATGTCATACTGAGATTTTTGTTCGGTGTGGTTGTTTAGATCATGTTTTCTGACCAGCATAATTTGTATCAGCATGCACAGGTGCAGCTGTGCCCATTGTGCATCAGTGGCCAAAGCCCATAACAGACTAAAAATGGTCTCTGTTTTTGGAATCACCACTTATTATTATGTGCAAAAATATTCAAATGATATCTTCACCTGATATTAGGAATACACCTTTTTGTATTCTTCCGTTCTTCATGGTTTTATTTGATATTTTCCACTGTGATCGCCTGATTGAAATTCCTGTTATTAGGAATACACCTGATATAAAGGAATACAATTTTGACAGTTTGCTTGCATTATTCTTGTCAGTTAAAATATAGTAAAGAATAAAAGGCCAACCACTGGACTGTCTGTTACCGTATCTTACTGACACAGAGTACAGTAACTCCTATTAGGACTTTTAGGAGAATTTTACATTAAATATGGAGAAAAACAGAGTGAGTGAATTGTATGAATAATGAAGAATAATCAGTCATCACTCTCACCAGGTCACTTAAAGCATTGACAGAAGTCGGTTACTCACTGCCAGGGTGTGGGTTGTACAAGCTATGACACATCATTGGACACTGTAATGCACAGGAAATGTATCAGACCTGCAGTGTGCTAGTAGATGCTAGGGTTCATTCAACCAGATTAATTGGCATTTGTCAGACAATATTTCACTGTTGAAACTTTCATAATTATTACATGTATGAAGGCAAAGTCCATGTTTGTGTGAATAAGATCCAATGGTCTACTTATAATGGTCTGCTTATGTATGAATAAGATCCGATGGTCTACTACAGGACGCAGCAGGTACCGTTGTTAGCATCTCGGGTTAATTTAGTATTTGTGTGGGTTTCCTGTGTGTGTGTGTGTGTGTGTGTGTGTGTGTGTGTGTGTGTGTGTGTGTGTGTGTGTGTGTGTGTGGCACCCTACAATGGACTGGTATCCAATCCATGGTGTATTCCCTTTCATGCCCAGTGTTCCTTTATCTTGACCAGGATAAAGTGGTTAATGAAGATGCATGCAAGTATACTTGAATGAACTAACAAATGAACGAATGGACAAGTGGTAATTTTAGACACCTAATACAAGTCTATGAAAGTACATTTATTAAGTCTTTTGAATTAATTAACCAAGTGATATAACGTTGTAGTAATTGCTTGGGTGTATTATGTACAGTGTTGTGAAAGTATTTGCCCCTATCCTGATGTCTTCTGTTTTTATGTACTGTTGCAATGAAAATTATTCAACCCCCATTGTAAATCAGGTTTATTGTCAGAATTTATAGACTTTCAGCTGTTTGCAGTGAACAAAACAAACAAAAGCAATTGAAATAGTTCAACACAACAAATGCGTCAAGTGGTTTCCCCAAACTCAACTGAAAATATAACTTATAATGACCTCCAGTTTCAGCATCCAGCATCGTAAGTATTTAGTAGAGCACCCTTTTGCTGTTATGACCTGCTATAAACAAAATGCATAGCTTCTGGAAGCATTCCTGAGGAATCTTAACCCATTCCTCATGAGCAATGGCCTCCATTTCAGTAATATTCTTGGGTTTGCATACTGCAACCGCCTTCTTCAAATCTTACCAGAGATTTTCTATGGGGTTCAAGTCAGGTGACCGTCATGGCCCTGTAGAACCTTCCAGGCCTTCTTCTGCAACCAAGCCTTGGTGGAATTTGTGGTATGCTTGGGATCATTTTGCAGTTGGAAGGTCCAACGACACCCAAGCTTCAGCTTCCTCACATATGGCATGACGTTTTCTCCTAGGATTTCCTGATACTTCAGTGAATCCATCTTGCCTTCCACACGCTGCAGGTTTCCAGTGCCAGAGGATGCAAAGCAGCCCCAGAGCATCACCGAGCCACCACCATGCTTGACTTTGTACAGTGTGTTCGTTCTTCATTCTTCTTCCTCCAGACATACCGCTGATCCTTCATGCTGAAAAGTTCCAGTTTTGTTTCATTGCTCCACAGAACAGAATCCCAAAACGTCTGTGGCTTATTTATAATTTTGAGCCGTGTGCTTTTGAATCTTGTGCTTTTGGATCAGTAGTGGTGTATGTCTTGGGGTTCTGGCATGGAATCTTTCTGTGTTTAGTATGTGCCTTACTGTGCTCACTGAAACCTCAGTGCCAGTTCCCACCAGGTCTTGCTGCAGTTTTTTCGCAGTCACTCGAGGGTTTTTCACAACCTGCTTTCTCAAAAATCTGGTTGCAGCCATTGATAGCTTCCTTTTTCCGGCCTGACCAGGTATTTCATTTATTTTCTGCCCCTAGCCAGTTCAGATATGTCATGTGTTCCAGCTCAAGCACACTTGATGCAAGCCCTTGATTAATTACATCAGGTGTGCTTGAGACAACCTGTTTTGCATATTTGTGCTGGACTGAGGGATTCTATTCAGGGGGTGGGGAATTGAGAATGGAGAAGTCGCATAAATTGCATTTTCAGTTGAATTTGGGGAAACCACTTGAAGCATTTGTTGTGTTGAACTTTTTCAATTGCATTTGTTTGATTTGTTCATTGCAACCAGCTGAAAGTCTGTAAATTTTGACAATAAACCTGATTTGCAGTGGGGGTTGAATAATTTTGATTGCAACCGTATATCTCATACTAAATAGTTTTAGATTTTTAAATGAAATATAACATAAAACAAAGGCAACCTGCACAAACACACAATACAGTTTTTATTTTATTTTTTACTGAAGCAAATGTGAAAAACCCATGTGAAACCCATCACCCATCACCCATGTGAAAAAAAATTTCCCCCACAAAATTAAAATCTCGTTGTGCCAGCTTTAGCAGCAGTAACTGCAACCAGATGCTTCTGATAACTGGAGATCAGTCTTTCACTTACTACTAGGGCTAGGACTTACTCCTATGCTTTGGATCATTGTCTTGCTCCATGATACAATTTGCACTTGAGTTTAAATTTACAGATTGAAGACCGGACATTCTCCTTTAGGATTTTCTGTTAAAGAGCAGAATTCATGTTTTCATCAATTATTGCAAGTTGCCCAGACCCTGCATCAGCAAAGCATCCCCACATCATCACACTGCCACCACCATGCTTGACCATAGGTAGGATGATCTTTTGTGGAATTCTGTGTTTGGTTTACACTAGATGTAACGTGACCCCATCTACCAAATAGTTCCACTTTCAACTCCTCAATCCACAGAACAGTCTCCCAAAAGTTTTCAGTGGTTTTCACCTCTCTACTCTTCCATTTATGGCATTTTTGCCATCCAGTGTCTTTCTGATAGCGGAGTCATGAACAGTGACTTTTATTAATGCAAGGGAGACCTGTAGTCCTTTCATGTTGTCCTTGGGTCTTTTGTGACTTCCTAGATGAGTAGTTGCTGTGCTCTTGGAGGAATTTTGGAAGCTCTGCCACTTCTGGGAATGTTCATTACTGTGCTGAGTTTTTTCCATTTGGAGAGAATGGCTCTCACTGAGAGCCATGTCATTTAAATGATGTTATCATTTACTTTGTCTACTCAGGTTGCCGTTGTATTATCTTAGATTTTGTTTTAATTTCTGAAACAGTTTAGTATGAGACCAGCGCTATATGTCAATGTACATCCAATGTGCACCGCTATTATAGCTTACAAAGACTGATTGTGGATTGCTGTAAGTGCTTTTCCATACAGTTACAAACGTCTGTCAACTCCAGACTTGATTTCTTTAATTTATTGCAATAAAGTTTCTTGAGTAATTACTATTTTAGTAAAAACCTTCCTTTTTAAGTGTTTGTCAAATAAACTTGAAAAGATTTTCTCCTCCAAAATTGTTGTTCTCTGAACAGAGAAATGAATCCTTACAAAACCAAAAAGCTTTTTGTGTATTTTTGTTGTAAATACAAAGGGACATCTGAATCCTCATCAATTTTGCAGCAGTCATTCAAATAAACCAAAACACTCTGTGTTGTGTGTGTGTGTGTGTATGTGTGTGTGCCTATGTGTGCGTGCCTAAGACACGTCAATCGGAAGGTCAAAGTGAACCCTTTAACATTGATTACACTGTTGCTCTGTTGCTTTTCAATGTATTGAGCTAAGCTGAGAGACAAATCAGCTTTGCTGGGTAAAAAAAAAAAGCACAAATTTATCCTTCCTCCATTTTTAAAATGTATTTATTTTCTTGTTGATAGGGCAGAGGGCGCACCGTGCTAACCACACGGTGGCCTAGTGGTTAGCACGTGGTTAGCACGTTCGCCTCACACCTCCAGGGTCCGGGGCTCGATTCCCGCCGGGGCCATGTGTGTGCGGAGTTTGCATGTTCTCCCTGTGCTGCGGGGGTTTTCTCAGTCCAAAGACATGCATGGTAGGCTGATTGGCATGTCTAAATTGTCCGTAGTGTATGAACACCTGTCCAGGGTGTACCCCGCCTTGTGCCCGATGCTTCCTGGGATAGGCTCTGAAGGAGTAAGTGGATGGATGGATAGGGCAGGGGGAGAGAAGAGGCTTCTCACCATTGTTTTAACCAAAAGGGAGTTAAATCAAGAAGAGAATAAACACCATGGAAGTCACCCATGAAATAGAACACTTCACTCTTTGTCCGAGTCAAAGGGAAACCATAAAATAGTGATCATGTTTTCTTAGAAATAGCTTGAACCAGCAAAAGACAGCACAATTTACACATTACACAAATTACATGTGTTTTCACTGTAACATTCCAACCCAAGCTGCAAGTGAACTTTGTCCATGTGTAATAATGACATCTGCTCCTATTAAACAAAATCCATACCTTCTATCAGCCCTGTTACAAGCTGTGTTGTGTAGCTGAAAATGCTCTGTGCCTGAGGCGTCTGTTTTCAGTTTATCTTATAAATCTCCTGCAAAACTTGCGTCCATCATTCATTTATTAAACTCCCCAAAGCTGTATCAAATGTAGTCATGAGAAAAAGTAAGTACACCCTTTTCAATTTTATGTTTTTATTTATCAAGGTAAAAATAACAATTTTGTGATCCTCACCAACTTCTATAAATAAAAAAACAACCTCAGGAAAAAAACAAAAAACAAAACAAAAAAAAACATTTCAATATGAAGTCATTTTTCTAAAAAGGTAAACCAACATTCAGAAACCAGCTGGGAAAAAATAAGTACACCCTTTAGTTCAGTAACCTGTAACAGTTAACCTTTAGGACCAATAACCTGAAGTAAATGTTTTCGGTAGTAGTTTATCAGTCACTTTTTGGAGATCTTTCAGCCCACTGTTCTTTACAACATTGCATCAGTTCATTGATGTTTGAGGGCATTCATTTATGCACAGTTCTCTTAAGATCTTGCCACAGCATCTCAGTGGGGTCAATGCCTGGATTTTGACTTGGCCATTCGAACACCTTAATTTTTTTTTCTGCTTTAGCTATTCAGATATCAATTTGCTGGTCTGCTTTGGATTATTGTCCTTTTGCATGACCCACTTTTGGCCAGCTTAAGCTGCTGGACAGATTTGTGCCCTCACATTTGTCTCAAGAATGTTCTGGTATAAAGTTGAGTTCATCGCTTTGTTAATGACTGCAAGCTTCCCAGGTCCTGTGGCTGCAAATCAAGCTCAAATCATTACCCCACCTCCACCATGCTTGACAGTTGGTAGGAGATGTATGTGATGATGCACTATGCTTGATTTTCACTAAATGTGGTGCTGTGCATGATGATCAAACGTTGGTCTTATTAGTTCAAACAATGGTGTTGATGTACGCATTTTTCCAAACCTGTGTCTGCTCCATATTCTTTTTAGAGAAAAGTGGTTTTGTCCTAGAGACCCTCCCCTTTTAGGCATACTTATTTAATCTTTTTCTGATTGTGCTGTCATAAAGATAAACATTTAATGCTTACAGAGGCCTGTAGCTCATATGGTGTATCCCTTGGGGTTTTCTTTATATTTCTGAGCATTAAGTGGTCTGACTTTGGACTGAACTTGCTGGAACGCCCACTCCTGGAAAGATTGGCAACTCTCTTGAAGGCTCTCCATTTGTAAACAATCATTCTCACTGTATAGTAGAATGGTGAATTTTAAATTGTTTGGTGATGGCCTTATAACCCTTTGCAGATTGATGAGCAGCAACAATTGGTTCTCTGAGATCATGGCTGATGTCCTTTCTTTGTGGCATGATGTAGACACACACCTGAGTTCTCCAGAACACCAAACCAAAAGTTCAGTTTATTGAAAGGTAGTCACAGAGAGGTAGTGCATTCTTTAGTAACACCTGGCTGCTAATTATTTTCTTAATTATTGTGGATGTAGAAAGGGTGTACTTATTATTATTATTATTAATAATAATAATAATAATAATAATAATAATAATAATAATAATATTTTTATTTTTTATTTTTTCCCCCACCTGCTTCCTAAAAAGAATGACTACATATTGAAATCTGTTATACAATTGCAATATAGGCCCTGATTTTAAAAATAAATAAATAAATAATAATAATAACAATTTTTTCCCATTACTGTAACTTAAGATGGATTACTAACATAATTTTTCCAAACAAAAAATCTACTTGTGAACTTCATGCATAGTTGTATTATTACATTATTTTATTCTTTACACTAGGTGTCATGACCATCCGTCAGTCATTAAATTCCTAAATGCTGTATCTAGTACAGCATATCCAGAGTTTACCCTGGTTTTCTGACCTTAGTACTCCAGTAAAAATCTTGGTAATATTGTGAAATTAGTCAAAGTGGTGAGCAAGCCAGAAAGCAGATGTTTGGGGTGATAGTGACTGGAAGGATGGGAGTTCATATCCTAGCACTGTCAGAGAGCCACTGTTGTGCCCTTGACCAAACCCCCAACTACTCAGTCATGTGGGTGGGATTTTTTTTTTCCTCAGGAAAAATAAAGCTCTAGCGTAGGATTGTTTTGTAAAACATGATAGAAAATTTCTGACCTGCTGTGAGTCACTCTGTCAGTCCTGTAATAGTAGTTCACAGTCAGAGCTGTTGGGCTTGAATTGGCAGGAGTTTTTTTTAAACACCAGGTCAGATACGTCCTACATCATCTCACTCCAAAGAAGTACAGCCAAAATCTCGCCCCTGAATTTTTTTGCAGCTTAAAACCGAGCCATAGTCATCAGAGCTATGCATCATAAGGGAGAGTAGCATTTCTCTTTCTAAAAGGCCTTGTCTTTCTGGATTCTATACAGTGTGGTGGTTTTGCTCAAATTTGCTCTTTATTTTTGTAAAAATGCAGGTTGAATTTTGACTATGTGCATGTTCAAGACCATATTTTGACCAGTCAGCTTACCACAACAACAATATTCTGTATTGATTTATAAAGCTTCTCACATGCACAAAGCTTCCTGCTCTGCCTTTATCTCTCTACTTCATAGATGAAATGTCAGAATGCTGCACAGATACACAACAGATTTTTTTCATTCAGCAGGTGAAAAATTACATCTGTCTCACATGTATTGATGTTGCTTCTGTAAAAGGTTAGAAGGCTCCTTGAGAGTGCTCATGTTTAGTTTATATATTAGATTTTTGCTGATGCATGAGAGAAATTCTGGAGGTGTTGGCACATGACATAATATCTGATACATAGCAGCACATAAAGCAAAAGTAATAATATTGGGGGAAATTGGTATGCCCAATTGGTTGTTATCCTGTAGTGAAATGTAATGCTTTTGAACAGCAGCTTGAAAAATTACCAATAGTGGTTCCAAAAGTTTCTCTTTTTTTCCTCAGATTTGGATGAACTGGTGTGGAAAAAAAAACTGTTAATACATGCATGTTAACAATGACATGTTTGCACTACTATTCTCATTTTCAAAATGATCTACATGTGTATAGGACTGGTTTTGAGAACATTTCTAATGTATTTTCTTAAATGTGCTTTTCAGGGTGATAAATGCTGGGAAAAGTGCTGTGAATGAGGATCAGGCCTGCTGTGAAGTCATGGTGGTGAAGAAGAGGCCCACCGGATCCTCCACACCCTGCAAACCGTCCAAGAGGAGATCCTCTCTGCCTAATGGAGAGGGTCACAGCCTTGCTGAGAGCTCAGTGAGTGCTGTGCATTTGTTTTTTATTTATTCTTCTTGTCCTCACAGAATGTTACCACAGGATACACTATTTGACAGTATTTGTCCCTTTGATGAAGTGTTTATGTAGGTTTTTTGTGGATTTTGTGGTATGTTTTCTGGATCATTTGTACTGTTGTAAAAGCCAGTCTCTCTTCAGCTTTAGCTTCAGACTGACTGTGTGAGATTTGTTTCCAGAAATACCAGCTGGTATTTAGTGTAATAAATTCTTCTATCTACCTATAGACTGTTTCCTGTGCCAGTGGATGCTACACAAACCCAAAACACAATAGCTCCACTCCCACACTTAATGGAATGGTGTTCTTCTCATCAACACATTTTTGCTCATTGTGGCCTAAGAGTTAAATTTTTACTTTACTTGTTTCCAAAATGGCTCTGCCTTATCTAGCTGCTGTCTTACAGATTTCAGACAATGCTGCACAGTGTAATGGTGCACCACCAGTCCTCTGTCAGCTAAACCTTGCTGCAAGTCCTTTGCTGTCATACAGGTTTTTTTCTTGTCTTCCAGATCTTGCCTTCATTTCTACAGCTCCCATTAACTGCCATTTTGGACAGTGGCGAATTGTAAGCTGGAAGCACTTTGATATCTTTTTATAACCTTCCCGTGCTTTGTCAGCAGCAGTTAGCTTCATTTTCAGATCCTCAGTCAGTGGCATAAGCCCATGGTTTTTGAGTATTAAGGTTTGAAGAATCAGCTGACAATTCTTGGTCTGCCTAACAAGTCAAGTTCATCCAGTTCTAACTGGAAGTGTGTCCAAACAACTGCATATAACATGCAATGCTGTGAAAAAGTATTTGCCTAATTTTTTTCCCTGTTTTTGTGTATCTCTCATACTAAAATGTTATAGATTGTCAAACAAAATACAACATAAAACGACATGAGTAAAACACAAAATACAGTTTAAGTTATCCCACACCTATCACCCATGTGAAAATCTAATTGCCCTCCTTAACTTAAAATTTGGTTGTGCCACCTCACCTTTTAGCAACAATAGCTGCAACCAGACACTTCCAATAACTGGAGATCAGTCTTTCACTTACTTATAGACTTACTCCTATGCTTTGGATCATTGTCTTGCTGCATAATCCAGTTGTACTTAAGTTTAAATTTATAGACTGAAGACCAGTCATTCTCCTTTAGGATTTTCTGGTAGAGAGCGGAATTCAAGTTTCCCTCAAGTATTGCAAGTTGGTCAGGCCCTGGAGCAAAG